TACGTTAGACAACCCGTACTTTCAAATTAAGGACCTGCACACCCATTAATGGTAGGTTTTTTAACGTGGCTTGGGTACGGAGATGTAACCGTGCATATATTAATCATATCCCAGCTATTGCTTCTATAGCGGAACTGCTTTCCCCGGGTGTATAAAGAGCCGCGCGTTGCAAACGTATACAACATAGCAGGAGAATAGAAGCAGAAGTATATAGACACTTGGAGATAGAAGCTGACCCCGCTTATCGAACTAGTTGAACGTGTTATTAGGTCAGTACCGTAAACGTGTCCCCATACACTACTCTTGACTATCTATAGGCGTGACAACGTCCCTGGTATCTTCTGGATGTAGTGCAGCGTTAATTCGTGTAACTTTGGGAAACCATCCTGAGGTGAGGAATGCTGGAAATGTTGTGTATGTGACCGATTCTACCGGAGACGTTGGTTGCATCGCATCCCGACGGTCTTTTCTAAGGAGCTGTGGAAAGCTGAAGTTAAAAATGTGAATAACACACTGCCTAGAAGTGAATGAGAAAGCTGCCGGCAAACCAACCGATTTCGAGAGGCGAAAGATTGTAACAGGACTCAAGCACAATGATCAGCCCTGGACTGATATGAACAGATCCGCCGTTGGGAATACGATGAATTCCAACTGCTTTCTGATCTTAAACGTTCCCTACCAGGATCGCCTCTGTTTCAGCCAGCCCTTTCGATTCCGTCAGTACAGGCCCCTGTGGGTCTTTATTTAAAATTTCTCAGCTGCGACATTAGCTCGACTAATCGTCGGACGTTTTCATGGACTGTCCATGGTATGTGCATCAGCACTCAGGAGAGCATAACTTTAATGAACTCTATTCGGTTCTCGAAATTGCCGCTTCCAGCCCACACCGGTTGGCTCATCGACTGTCACCAGATATTTTTAGTACACTACCGATTTCCCCCTGACTTGATGTGAATTGATCCACCGTATAACCCGCCAGGATACCCTAAGACAGAAATACAGGGTATTTCGCATCTTCTAGGCTTATATGGGGTTGCACACTGAATCCCAGCTGACATGAACACTCGGTAAGTTTGGTTTTTCCGCCCGAGCTGCGTGATCACTACCAGTCTCTGACGCAACTACATTACAAAGCTGGAAGATAAAGTGGCGCAGAAACATGATGCCTTTCTCCTCTGAGGCTCCCTGTCATGATGGAACCACTTTACTGTTCCACGAACTATTCGCTCTGTTTAATGCATGTGTCACCACTTATGGAAATTTAAATTGGATCGGAGAGTCATTGCGGGCTTTGCTGTGCCGTTCACCGTCTGCTAACGTCGAATCTGTTGAGTAGAGCCAAATAAGACTTTATCCCATGGCATCAGCTCACTAACCTAGGAGCATAAGGAAAGCTGAATCTCGATGGAATAAATAGAGTGAACTAATCAAATATCATGATGTGGCAGGATGAAAGTTCGCTGCGCAGCAGGTCAAACAAACAACCTATCAAGTTTCACACGCTCGGTTCATTTGCCACAAGGCCTGAAAAGGTGCAGTTTTTCATTTAGCTTTGGTTGTTCGTTCGTCGGACAGCTCTCCTTTGTCACGTCACGGTCGGTTGTGTTACCAGCGGATGGGTGAAACGGTCATGGAATAAATCTACGTATTTTTAAATGTCCCGATCGATGAATGTCGTAAACACTACGTGTCTGTGTCTGAAAATATGTTCGGACCGTATTTGTACACAGCCTGCGGAACCCTGTTGCAAGACTACAAAATCGATTGTCCAACCGAATGTGCAATATCGCTGATAGGTTTCAAACCTGGTTTCAGCCATCTGGCGTCAGTAACAGACAAGTCTGGTTAAGCAGCTGTTGCACGCGGAAACAGAAAAGGCCCATAAAGGAAACTATTCGCAAGGTTGCTGAAAACTCTTCGACACCTACAACCGCGACAGCCTACAACCGGTTTCGCCTTCTCGGGGCTCATCAGGTAGGGGCGGTCCCCGAGTTCTCGTCAACCTTACGTTCTGCTTAAACCCAGCAAGCTCGTGAGCAGTTTTCTTTATGAAAATAAACTGCGATATCTCGAATATCGTGCCAACTGAAACATGAGGCGGCCTTTGTACAGCACTTTCAGTTGTAGAAAAGAGATTCAGCTGAGTCTCTCGTGAGAACCAAATTGATTTGCAAATGAGTGTATTTCTAGAAATGGTCCAACATTAGTAAAGACGATTGTCGGATGATTGAAACATCAGATGACTCGGATCAACAAGCAGTAATTAGGGTAGTTGGCGTCCTGAAACCTGGGGCTCTCACCCGCTTCAACCGTTGAATTTCTGCTTGGCTAAAGAACGAGTGAGCTAGGTAATACAGAAACCTACTCTTTCCGAATTAGTTGAACGTCAAGAAGAAACAGCCGTTATGTTGATTCCGCATGTTGATGCACAGTCGCATTTACAGTTCCGCAGCAGTATGGAATAACTTGTTAGGTCACTCCTGCCGAAGCGAGAGATTTCTTCCCACTTCCATATACGGTTCAGCCTGCTCGTAGGTAGCCGTACATTCGATATCCACTTTCGAAAGATGTTAGAGATGGTTCGTATGAGTGGTATTTCCCAAGACAAAAAAGTTTGCTTAAAGTGGACATTTCATGCGTGTGCGTGCGGAGTGATTTACGCCTAGTATCACTTCTCTCCAAAGTACACGCACTCTGTTGCCGTTGAGACACAGAATATGACATTTACTGAATGAATCCTTAAAGGAGAGACATTTCTCCCTGAGCCTTCAAAAGGTTACTTGATTAGGCTTTACGTTCCGCTGCTCCGCTCTTGATTGAAGTTGGCGCCTCATCCGTTGGGATTCTGCCACCGATAGTTTAATTCACAGGCTATAGTCTGAACCTAACAGCGTTCACAAACAGTACTTTATAGGTATTCGGATGTACAGCTACTTTCCAATACGGCAAGTTGGCATAGTGCATTGTAAACAGAGGACTGAAACAGAATTCCATAGTGTGGCTCAGGGGCGAGGTGGCTCAGTGATCAGAGCGCAAATTTACTGACCGAAAGGTCCGTGGTTCGAACCCGACCTCTGCCTGTCGACTTCCCCTGTCTAGGCTTGGGCAACCTGACAGTATCCCAGCCCTCGTGCTTCCTTCGGATGGCATGGCAGCTAGGCACCGGAGGGGTGTTACAGCTGAACGATTTAAAATTTAAAAATTTAGTGTAGCACCTACGACTACAGAGCTTTACTCGCACCCAAAACCCATCTGATCAAGGGAGTCGGCATTGATTTGTTTTTGAAGTGCGGCTTCTACGGGATATTGTGTGGGACATGATGTATCTTCGTTCGCAGCTGAGATTCGACTTTCCGAGTCATTGCTATTAATTAGTGATTAGAAGCGTGCGCTTCCTAGCAGTCTCAATGCGATCTTCCCTACAGCTCATAAGCTAATAAATGAATTAACAGCTGATCGCCAAGGCCACAACTCCCAGCAGTTCACTGGCGTTGGTTGTAAACTATACATGTCGTTTTTGTAATCTGCATAATGACGTCTCATCGAAAAGCAGAGTTTACAGTAAATAATGGACGAAACACGACAACATACATGAGACCCGCTGGTGTGACAGCGATACCACGGACCAGTCTCAAGGTCTGAACTGTTCCGCAATTCGTTCGTGGTTGTACGGTAGCGAAGCATCGGTGTTGAACACTGATGTCATGCTGTAGATGATGATGATGATGATTTGCACTTAGTTGCATTCATGTAGCTGAACAGTTATGGAAGTTTGTGTTCAACTTCGAAAAATTGTGCTTTCAACAGATATGGTCTATGCACGAGTAAGCTTTCTTACATTCCTCTCTAGTTTACGTTATCTCTTGCCCGTTCTTCTACAAGTCTTCAAACAATATTTCAGCTCCTCCGTGGCAAGTGTATAGCTTTGTCACTTATTCAGCTGGTGTTTAACATATACACCATATTCGACCTACTTCGTTACATGATGTCAGGAATTCCTAGTTTTGTTTGTTTTTGTGAGAAATGGGAAACAAACTTTGGAAACGGAGCTCGACAACGGGGCGACAACAATGTCAAACACCCAGGAGTGCAGCACGGAAAATTGCGCAGTTGTTTGATCAAACCTCTATTGTTTTTCGCTACCAGATTATCCGTGTAATTTGGCTATCACCTGATTTGGAAAATCTACCCTCCCTACTCAACTAAATCATGCGATGACCTTGGCGCAAAGAGGGAATCAGTTGACTCTGCCGTTGCCACCGACTTAATTTGCAAATTAGTGTGTTCCACTAGTTGTGTAAAAATTTACTATGTGAATAGAAAATGGGGTCGACGTGAACTTGGAAAATGCTGCTACCTGATGAGCCCCAACGTGGGCGAAAATGGTCGTGGACTGTCGAAGAGATTTCAGCAACCTTATGAGTAGTGTCTTCCACCAGGTTAGTGTGTTGTCTCTGCTGTATTTCTTCATTTATCGTCGAGCGATAAATCCGCCGATGCATTTCCGATGTACCTAGCCAGATTCACTCTCTATTTTTTCACTTCCAGTGTGATTTTGGTTTTGCCAAATATATCGGAATCGGTCAACGTACCTGGACTTTCTGTGGTACACCGGAATATGTGGCCCCAGAGGTAATCCTCAATAAAGGGCACGACTTTGCTGCTGACTATTGGTCACTTGGGATCCTAACCTTCGAATTGTTGACTGGGACGTAAGTAAAATTCACAAAATACCAACATATTACCATTGCATACTCCAACTGCGAACTCACCACCTTTTTCAACCATTTACAGACCCCCGTTTCAGGCATCAGAACCAATCAAAATTTACATGAAAACGCTCAAAGGGATCGATGCGTTAGGGCTTGCACAGAACAAATATATTTGTCTCAAAGCGTTGCAATTTATCCGGCGTCTTTGTCGGTTCAATCCATCCGAACGAATGGGCGTCGGGAGGCATGGGATACAGGAAATCAGAAGTCACAAGTAAGTTGATCAACTGATTCTACTTCTCCCAGGTGCATTTGATGAGTGAACAGTCATGTATGCTATTGCGGCAAATATTGGTAGGTCAGAGTACGTAGGGGGTCGTTAGTTTGTCCCCTGAAACTGGCAATTAAGCAACTGCAAGCGTTTCATTACCAATCTTTATGACATCGTTAGTGCATCGTTATGAAGCTGTTCGGCTATGTGGAACTGAAAGTGCACTTGACAGTTGCGCGCATGTGCTTATATGCGAGCTGCTAGCTGCACATGGTCTTCATTCACGATTGGTTGTTCTCGTGCGCCGCGCTGTGGATTGGCTGGGCAGCCTGTGTTTTGGTTAAGTGATATTCATGAGAGTTTAATTTTTATCCTCTTCAACACTCGTCCACTGATAGGCCACCAAATGAGCTCTGATCTTGACTTTTCCTTGCCTTACCATGCGACCTTCGTTGAGCTCCCTTTTCTCGATTAGCGTGCAGCGTAGCCCACTTCGTTTGATTTCTCCGGTTGGTTTGCGAGTTTTCTGAACGTAGTTAAGCCTAGATTGGGTCCAGGTCGACGTGCCGAGTAATCGAGTCCGTCGTGGAGCGCCTTGCTCCTAAGAATTCCCTTGATTTCCATGATTCTCCGCGTTTTCCAAATCGAATGTGTGATCTTGACCCTAATCATGTCTTCTGGTTGTCGCAGTTGTATCCATCTGCGTCTGTTATTTGTCCAACCTAAAACCTATTGCAGATGGTGCAGTGTATTTTCCATACTACGCTGTTGCTTTTTTGTGACCCTCCGACGGTATCGCATGTGCGAAAATCACTCGTATTTGTACGTCAGACGCGGCTAGCCGTACGAATAGTAACCTGTACAGGCTGCTACCTGACTATTTTAGCGTACGCTGCATCGCTTCGCTTTACAATGACGTGCTGATAATGTCCTGTGGATTATTGAAAACATCTGCAATTGCGAGATGGCTCAAGTGGTTAAAGCGCGAGTTTACTCACATGAAGGTCTGTGGTTCGGCCCCTCTGCCTATCGGCTTCCCTTGTCTAGGCTTGTCTGGGCAACCTGGCAGTATCTCAGCCCTCCTGTTTCCTTCAGACGGTATGGTAGTTAGTTACTGGAAGGGTGCTACAGCCGAACGATGTTGTATATGTCGCTTATTACTGCAACTGTCGAACTACCCCTTTCAGCGGACAAACTAAAAGCCACTAGTTAGGTTAGTTAGATTTAACTTCTATCAAGTCCGGTTGGATTTTTACTGTACTCCTAGTTCTCCATTCCTTTTGCAGAACTGAGCGAAGCCTGTGTTACAAATACGAAAGTAGAAACCACGTTTCGAAGTGATTTTCTGTCCCTAATCAATGCCAACTTCAGGCTCATCATCATCATCATCATCGACAGCATGACATCAGTGTTCAACACCGATACTTCACCGCCGTACAACCATGACTTATTTGAAAGCCTTATTGTGAAGAAAAGAGTAAAGGTGGACGAAGGAGGGACTTAGTGCTAGCTTAACACAATCATTCCGAGGTGCCTACACCTCC